ACTTACACCATATACAAAAATAAACTCAAAATGGATAAAGGACTTAATCATAAGACGGGAAAACCACAAAAATCTTAAAAGAATCCATAAGCAGCAAAATCTCAGACATATTTCATACCGATATCTTTTCTGATACAGCTCCTAGGGCAATGGAAACTAAGGAGAAAATAAACAAATGGGACTACATCAAAATAAAAACTTCTGCACAGCAAAAGAAACCATAAAAAAAAATCAAGAAAGCTCACTGCGTGGGAAAACATATTTACCAATGTTATACAGGCAGTCCTTGGGTTACATCGGACTCGACATACATTGTTTCGTGGTTACGTCGCAATCTCCCACTTATTTATATAAAAAAAATTCCATCATTTTGATGTACGTGCATTATGTGCTTTACATTTTTTATTATTAATTTACCACAAGTAAAGGTCAGGAATTATCTTTCTTTTAAATTTTTTTACTGTTTCACTTCATTACTGCTGTGTATGTGCTCCATGTGAGTGACGTAGGAGCTTCTGTATCAGGTTCCCACTTACAGTGAAAATCACATTATGTCGCTGTAGGAATGGATCTGTGACATAACCCGAGGACCTACAGTATCTGATAAGGGCTTAATCTCCAAAATTTATAGGGAACTCATACAACTTAACAAAAGGAAGATAAACAATCCATCAGAAAATGGTCAAAGGACCTAAATAGACACTTTTCGAAAGAGGACATACATAGGACAAGAGACATATAAAAAGATGCTCAAAGTCACTAATCATCCACACTTCTAGGAATATATCCCAAGAAATCAGAAACACCAATCAGAAAGGATATATGCACCCCTACGTTCATAGCAGCACAATTTACAATAGCTTAGATTTGTAAACAGTCCAAGTGCCCATCAGCAGATGAGTGGATTAAAAAACAGTGGTACATCCTCACAATGGAATACTACGCTGCTGTAAAAAGGAGGGAACTCTTACCATTCACAACAGCATAGGTGGACCTGGAGAGCATTATGCTAAGCGAAATAAACCAGTTGAAGAAAGATAAATATCACATGATCTCACTCATTTATGGAATATAATGAACAACATAAACTGATGAACAAAAATAGGTCCAGAGACATAGAAGCATTGAACAGACTGTCCAACTTCAGAAGGAAGGCAGGGGAGGTGGGGAGGTGAACCAAAGGACTTTTTTGCATGAATATAAGCATAAACCATTTGCAAAGACACTGGGGGGGGGTGAGGGCATATGCTGGGGGGTTGGAATGGCTGGGAGAAATCAATAAGGGGAAAAGGAGACATATTTAATACTTTAAACCAGCGGTTCTCAACCTGTGGGTCACGAACAATGAAAATACATCCTGCATATCAGATATTTACATTACAATTCATAACAGTAGCAAAATTACAGTTATGAAGTAGCAATGAAAATAATTTTATGGTTGGGGGTCACCACAACATGAGGAACTGTATTAAAGGGTCACAGCATTAGGAGGGCTGAGAACCACTGCTTTAAACAATAAAGAATTTTTTAAAAAGTAAAAAATAAAAATAAAAACACACACACAGAGAAATAGAGCCTTTATGCCATTGTCAGGACATCACAAATAAATGAAATAATGTTATCTGTTATGATGGCTAAATGTTAACCCACTCAATATATTTTGGAAGCGGCAAAATCAAGTTAGGAAAAAAGGAACAATTTACCACATTACACGTAGCACCATATAAATCATCACAGTGAGGCATCACTATCATCACCAACAGAACAAAGAAGAATAAGAACTCCTGCAATCAATATTTGGAATTTTGGCAAAAAGGGAAAATTTCTATAGCACATGGCTTCCTGGAACCTTACCTCATCGCCACTCCACCGGCTGGGGAATGAGGGACGGAGCTTCTTGATGCATACGATCTCTCTCATGTCCTCATAAGAGGGGTCACTGGGCACCAAGTCGTGATAGGGAAGCTGGTATTCTTCCACTGCACCTAAAAACACAGTTTTACTATTATACTTTTTTCTGTGAAATAAAATTCTAACATACAAACTGTTCTCAAAATAAAGTTCTGTCGGTACTAAAGACAAGACTGAAAAACAGCAAAATAAATCTTTAAAAAAATGTTCCTAAATGACACTTAATCTAATTTTTAAATAAATGAAAATTCCAATGAAACATATTACTTTAGGTCTTCAATCCTTTTCTTCTAATTTCCAAAAGCTAAGTAAAATAAGCACCTCAAATTTACTTCCAATTTTACAAGGGCTCTTGTATGCCAAAATTTTTTAAAAATCTATATTAAATCTCCATGCAAATTTGGCAGACACATTCCAAACTCATACGTATAAGATGTGATCATTTCTATTACTGCAATATGAGGTTATGAATCTCATAATAAATTTGGCAGTGTATTCTACTTGAATAAAATGTCACATTTACATTTTTTCTGCTTAATCATAAGAATGCATTCTTCCATATTTAAAATTTAGAGAAATGTACACACCTAAAAATATTAACATTGATCGGCTACCTCCTGGCCTTTACTGGGATCAAGCCTGCAACCTGGGCATGTGCCATGACCAGGAAATGAACCAGCAGCTACTTGGTGCATGGGACAACACCCAAGAAACTGAGCCACTCTGGCCAGGGTACCCCAGCTTGTTTTTAAGCTAAGAATCATTTTGCCCATATTCCAACCACAGGCTTTCAAATACAGGCTTCTTGTTGCCCTAATTGCTTTAGATTTCCAGGGAAACATAATTTGAGAAGTAATCTTATATTATCCTATTCCTTTAACTCCTATAAACTTATCTCTATACAAAAGCCTAAGTGACCATTACGACCGGTTGACTGAACAACCAATCAACCGGTCACTATGACGTGCACTGACCACCAGGGGGAAGACGCTCAATGCCTGCCCCCTGGTTGACAGTGTGCTCCCACAGCCAACCTCCTGAGGCTGGCCAGTCTCCCTCGGTCCCTACCCTCAGCTGGCCAGGTGATCAGTGCAGTCCCACAGCCAAACCCCTGCAGCTGGCCATCCTTCCATGGTCCCAACCTCTTGAGGGTCCCTCCCCGCAGCTGGCTAACCTGCCGCTGGCCGGCCCCGATCAGGACTGGGCGAGATAGCCCCCATTGGCCCCAATTGCCGGCCAGGCTGAGGGACCCCATCTGTGTACGAATTCATGCACCAGGCCTCTAGTCTTAAATAAGTATAAACATTTTGTTCAAAAACATGCTCACTTCCTCTACAAAACAAAATCAAAGCATAGGCAGTTAATTTATGTTTTTGTTGCTCCTTTTCTTCTTCATAATATGATGGGAGACTTATTCAATATCTGAATCAGAAAAATGTTCTACATTAACTTCCCTTTGGACCAAAAAGAGTTCTCTCATTTCAGAGGGGATGTGCTCTATTTCAGCTTAAGCTAATGAGAAGTTCAGAATCTCTAGAGTGATTAGAAGGCACTGCACCACTGAAGATGATCTTGCTACAGAAGTATGAATGCCTATTGATCAACTGTTTCTCCTTTATATTTCAATAGGATTCTAAATGTAAGTTAAGGCTCTACCAATCAAAGTGAAAATTTAAAATAACAGCTAACATGTATTGAGTACTATTTATGGGTCAGGCAATGTTAATTCTCTTTACAATCACAAAAACCTCACAACCCCCTGAGGTAGTGCAATAATCCATCTCTCTCTTAAGATAAGAAAACTGAAAGAAAGGAAAGTTAGTAACTTGTCAAAGGTTTACAGATACAAATGCCAGGACTAGTTAACTGTAGGCTACACTTTCAGAATATTGGGCAAGCTCCAGTTTTCATGAAGGTGAGTTTAACTCACCTCCATCAAGAGGAAGAGCAGCAGTACCAGGATTTACTTATCAAGTACAACCTTGACTAGAACCATAAACAACATACTTGATACCAAAGAGCCTCAGACTCAGCTCCTCAACTGAAAGGTGCTGGAATCTACTAAAAGACAAATTATGCAGCAGAAGGCACAATGCTACAAGCAATAATAACACCTCTGAATATTTAAGGATGTTTCCTTAGTTAGTCTTACTAGGGAAACTTTATGTTTGTAAAAAGATTACCATGACCAATACTAATATTCTTATGCTTTAATTTCATTTTGATAAAAACTGATGTTTTCAAATTGCTTTATGAGTAAGTATTGTAGAAAGTTAAGAAGTAGGGCGGGAGGTTAAATAATGGGTGTCCCACCCCACAGTTATGTCTTTTCATCTGAGCAGAGGAAGCCACAGGAAATGGGGCCCTAGAATTGGGCAGGGGGCCCAGCAGATTGGTAAGAAGAAGATGGAAGGGGTAGAGAAGGAGGCTAACTTGATAAAGCAATGGCTAGAGAAAGAGTTCAAGAGAGAAGTGAGACAATACATATAATAGAACAGGGTGATCTTCGAAAAGACAGAGGAAGTTGACAATGTGCCTAGAAGAGATGCCTCAGTCATAGGTGGAGAGAAGAATGCAGTCAAAGGTAATTCTATGATGTGAAGTATTATTTCCTAGGAGGATCATGACTGAGTCAACAGAAATAAAGGACAAAATTTGATTGTGTAGACAACTTTGATTTCTGATCAGAAAAAAGGATTTGGCCCTAGCTGGTTTGCTCAGTGGATAGAGCATCAGCCTGGAGACTAAACGATCCTGGGTTCACTTCCAGTCAAGGGTACATACCTCTGATGCAGGCTCCTCTGGGGCCCGGGCCCGGGCACGTGTGGGAGGCAACCAGTTGATGTGTTTCTCTCACATCGATGTTTCTATTTCCCTATCTCTTCCACTCTCTCTAAGAAAATCAATGGAAAAATATCCTCGGGTGAGGATTTTAAAAAAGAGAGAGAAAAAAGGAATTGTAATAGCCCAATGGTACCACTGGTACTTACCTCCTGATACGCATCTCCTAGTCACCTCCCAAAGAATGAGCCCAAAGCTGTACATATCGGCCATGATGTAAGATTGAAAGTGATTTCTATTCAAGCTCTCATCCAACACTTCTGGAGGCATATAGCGCTTGGTGCCAACACGAGTGTTGGGTGGTATGTCAACTTCATTTGTATCGCTAAGGGGAAGTAAAGCAGAGCACCGTCAGTACTGAAGAGAACCAAGGGTCAAATCAAGGTGATTCCTGAACCAGGGCTTTAGTGGAAAATGGGAAAAGGTATCCCTTCAGGGAAAACCATTTCCTGGAAAAACATTCCTAGCCAAGAGTTATATTAAATATTCACGGGTAAAAACACAATAAAGATGACAATCAGAATACTTCACACTTGCATTTGCGTCCCACACCCTGTATGACAGCAACTTTGCAGAGTGCCTTCTCGCACTCTGGGGCCCCTTGAGGGATGTCGGAGAGCCGGTTTCTGCCAGATCCCCACAGGCCAGGCCGAGGGACTCTACCTACTGGAGAGACCCTGCTCACTCTGCAGATGCCCTTTGAGCCAAGGTGCCACCCCAGGTGTAGCTGGGGGCCAGGAAGGGACCATGGGAGGTTGGCTCCAGGGCATGTCTGTCCATCTCTTCCAGTCCCGCCCTGCCGGCCACCACCCGGACCACCTGCATTAGGCCCTGCACTGGAGCCAGCTCTGTGAGCCGGAAGACCCTAGCGTGAGTTTTCTTTCTTTTTCTACTCCTCCCCCACCGCCCCTCCCCACACATGCTCCACAGACGCCTTTCAAGCTGTGGCAGCACCAGGAATTCTAATCAATTTGCTTTCAAGGTTCACAAATCTGTGTACCAGACCACTAGTTGAATATAATATCTTTATCTTTATGAAAATTTCACAACATGACCCACTTGTAATTCCTCCTATAGACTGGAAGGACATCTGTGATGAATGGACCCCAGTCTGCAGGCCGGGCCTGAGAACCACTGCCTCCGTGCTGGGAGCTGGGGCCCCAGTGCTGCACCCATGTTTCAAAGTGGTTGCACTACCACTGCCTGACAGGTTGATGATTAAAGGAGACATGTAACACTGCCACCAGCACAGGAGTATGCACATAGTAGGTTTAACGAGAACTACCTCAATAAAAATGAATAGGACTAGGAAGAAGAGCAATAAACCCTAGTGCTGATGGGTGAAGAAACTATAAAACAGAAAAGGTACAAAAATTCATTAAATTGAAGTTTGGGGGACATCTTTGATAAACCTGCCTAGCTCCTGATTCCCAAGAAAGTGTTTGTCTGGTTTTTTTTAATTTTAATTTTATTTTCATCACACTCCATTGACTCTCAAGCATTGACATGTTATTTCTCCTCAACACTGAAAAGAGTGAGAAATATGGAACATCACCTTTGTCTTGCTGAGTCACAGGCAATACCAGGCTTTCCAAAACACTAGTGCCTTTTGTTGGGAGGAGGGGAGCTTCTTGGCTTGATTTTATTGCCTCAATCTCTGTCTTCTAAACATAAAATATGTACTGTCACTTGGGAAAATTTAAAGGGTAACAAATGCCCCTCTGTAGATCTCAAAACTGTTTATAGTTACTAAAAACTTATAAATCCAAAGCTTCTTTCTCTGAACCTTTTAAAATTCACTTCCAGCTAAAATCCTTACTCTAGAGTTACTGCAGCAGACATGGAACAAATGTACCCATAGGCCCCTTGTAATCTCCCAGGAGCTTTGACGTATGGACTCTATTTTCCTAAATTAAAAGTTAAAGTGTAAATTTATAACACTGAAAAAAAACCTAAATAGCTGGTATTGCTTATCATCTGTAAATGTAAGTCTTAGTGTTCTGGCTTCTTTTCTGACTAGGAAAAGAAGTTAAAACATACATTCTTATTATTTACCGACATGGTATAATAACAAATGTCATTTGTGTACCTAAGTCATAAATGGTGAGGAAGGCAAGTGAGCTGAGAAGAGGTTGAATGATAAACTGGGAAAATATCAGATTTAAAAGATCCTGCAAAAGCTCCACCTTCAATTATAAAGTAAGGTCTCTCTACTGACACCTCTCCTGTGAGCACACAGTAGGTATTTCCTTAGTATGCTGTGTGTTTGTGTGTATGTGTGTGTGCTATCCTAATAAAAGACAAAAAGGGTAATTAACCGTACCTCTGCTACACTTCCCATTGGCTAATCAGCGAGATATGCAAATTAACTGCCAACAAAAATGGCAGCTGGCAGCCATGCAGCTGAAGCGAGCAGGAGGTTTGCTTGCTCCAGTGATGGAGGAAATCAAGGTTCCCCGCCTGCCACGGCCTGGCTCTGAGCTCCGAAAGCAACAAAATTTCAATTATAGAAGCTAAACAAACCCCAGATACCTGCTTTCAGCCAGCTGTGGCCTCAGAGCTGGAGCGAGCTGGGACAAGCTGCTCACCCTGCGGTCCCAGGCGCCAGTGGCTAGGGCTGCAGTCCAAGAGAGGGACAAGCTGCCTACCTTGCAGTCCCGGGCACCAGCAGCTGCCACCTGGATGAAGCCACCCACCCACAGTCTCCTGTAGCTGTGGCCAGCCCAGGCAAAGCCAGTCCAGGTCCTGTGTGCCTGCAGCCAGCCAGAAGCAGGAAAGCCCGGATCCCGAGTACCTGCGACTGACTGGAGGAGGGAATCCTGGGTCCTGGGTGCAGGGCGAGGCAGAGGTGGTTAGGGGCAATCAGGCCAGCAGGGGAGTAGTTAAGGGCAATCAGGCTGGTAGGGGAGCAGTTAGGGGAGATCAGATAAGCAGGCAGAGGTGGTTAGGGGCGATCAGGAGGGAGGCAGGTAAGCGGTTAGGAGCCAGCGGTCCCGGATTGCGAGAGGCAGTCAGACATCCCCCGAGGTCCCAGACTGTGAGAGCGCACAGGCCAGGCTGAGGGACCCCCCCCCCACCACCACCGAGTGCACAAATTTTTGTGCACCAGGCCTCTAGTAATTTATAATTATGAATCATTAGAGGAAGACAGTGGTGACACCAGCTACAGAATTCTGAGTTCTATGCAGAGAAACAAACCTGAGGGTTTGCAGATGGAAAGACAGAAAAGAGCCTAAATTATGTTCCAGAACATTACTGCGAAAGGAAACCAAGACCCATCTTAGCATGGGCCCCACAGGAGTGTATTCAGGTCAAAGATATACTCTGACCACAGCTGATAAAGATTTTAGGCAACTCCTTTCCATTCTTACTCATAGCTCCTTAATGCATTATTGTTTTTGAGAGGTCAGGAAGAGCTAATGGAATGTGTGACATTGAAACATCAATGGGAAACTGAAAGTTAGTTGTTATCTTATAATAGAGTCAAGATTTGTGATGGCCAGACTATATATAGTTCACCTCTAAGCTCTTAAACCTTCAAACTCTGAAGAACGTACAGTCAAGGATTTTGTATCCCCATCAAATCCCCCAAAACCAGTTCCTACACAAGCTAGGAATTCTGGGCACGACTGTCCTTCGTCCACCTTGGTGATTTTCCACTCTAGGTGATTTTCCTCATGGTACCCGAATAAATATGCTCACTTGTAGTATCTGTACAAATATCTGTCTTCCGCCTAAGACTGTAAACTCCTCTCAGCCCTGACTATCTGTCACAACCAGGTGGTCTGTCCCTAAAGAGGAGAGCACTGATCCATCTCCACTCACAGCCTGCTCTGCACCAGGCAGGCAAATTATATGCTTTAAATGAAAGAAGAAAGAGGACTGTTTACAGTAAAGTTCACTTTGGATAATTTAAGGATAAATGTAAAAATCTCTATTATGTATAGATCATAAAATGAGATATTACTGATAATCAGAGGACAAATAGAATTTTGTTAAGCCAATTAATTTGCAAATGATTACTATTAACCCCTTCCCCAACAATTTTTTTGTTAAAAACGTTTCTTTTTCAGACTAATTTTTTTATTTTGGTTCTATATAGTATTTTTGATGCTGGTTATGAAAACAGTTTGTAACTCGTCTTCCTATAAACCATATTTTTTTACCATATTTTCTTAGTATACTCGTCGACGACTGAAAAAGAACATTTTGTGAAAACGTGTATACACGTTTCTGCCGGGGAAGGGGTTAACCTAAAGGCAAATGCCTTTAGCACTACACTGAAACAACAACCATGATAATTGTAAGTAATCCACATCTGATATTATAAAACATCAGATCCTCCAAAACATAGAGCTCTGCCTCTTCTCTCAGGAGGGTTTCTGTACTTGAAAGTAATTACCCTGCATCTCTCTCCTGGGTTTTCAGAAACATGATCTTACCTGTCCTAAATAAGGACAGAGAAAAACTGAGCTTGGTAATCTTCAAGGCCACAAACAGAAATTAAACTCACTGAACACTGGGGCACCGAGAAGAAAGGGAGAAAGAGAGATGGCAGGTAGAGTGGGATGGTGCAGAGCATACAAGCATGGGGTAGGGAGTAACTGGAGGAGGGCCCAAGAGCAAAGAAGGAAGCAGAAAAGGCAGAAAAAGTCAGGGCACCTTCAACGTCCCACCCCCTCCTTTTCCATTGAGGGATGGGGAGGGGTGAGAAACAAGGCTGGCAAGAAGAGATGGACACTCACAAGGGAGCAGAGTCAGAGAAAACAGCTCCAAACCCACAACATAACCCTATGTACTGCAGTGGCTGCCCACACATGGAGTCAATTTTTAAAATCATATACAGAAAAGATAAATACCAACTTCAGATACTGATTACCTCTGCCAGGGATAAAGGGGAATAAAGTAGGGAAGAGAATGCAACAGGGCTATCTTCAACACTGTATTTGTTTTAAAAAGAAAGATCAGATAAAATAAGGCAAATTGGTAACATCTGGTGACCTTAAATTTTTATATGAGCCCTGGCCGGTGTTTCCAAATGGTTAGAGCACTGACCCACACACTGCAGGGTTGTGGGCTTGATTGCCTGTCAAGGGCACTTACCTGGGCTGCAGGCCTAATCCCCAGCCCCAGTCAGGGAGTGTGCTGGAGGCAACCAATTGCTGTCTCTGTCTGTCTGTCTGTCTGTCTATCTATCTATCTATCTATCTATCTAATATCTCTTTCTCCCCCTCTCCCTTACAATCTCTTTGAAAATCAATGGAAAAAATATGCCCGGGTGAGGATTTATATATAAAAAAAAAATTATTGCATAAGTGTTTCATT